CATCCAGCCCTCTGACTCTGGACAGTATTACTGTACAGCTGAGAATGACCTGGGGAAGAGGACATCTGAATCCATCTTTATTGATGTGAAATGTGAGTAAATCTGCTTCAGTAATAGGTTTTCTTAAATGCATTCACTACCTTTCAAATGTCCTTAGTCCTTTTGTTTCTTTTATAGTTTTCATTCACTCACACTGTGCCTAATAATCTGGCACTATTTAATCTGTAGTAGGGATCTTATCAACAAATGTCTGTGTTGTTCTAACTTTTCCTGACAGACAACAAAACATTCACCAAGAACACAAAAAAGAAACCATTATTTCTACTTACTGACATCATAGTGATGTTTCTGTGTTTTGTGATCTACACATAGCACAGGAATAACAACTATAATTATATCACTGGGTGTGAATAACAGAAAAAATAGAATTTAACTTCAATAGATTCTTAAAAAAACACAAGACTCCATATTCTAAAATGGTGCTGCGCTCAGGTATGCACCACAAGTCATAAAAAATATATTTTCTTTTATAGAAACGGAAATATAGAGAGAGACTGTTAAAACGATATGGATTTTTGGCTGGAGAGTAGAATTTAAATTTGAAGGAGTCTTCACACAGTACTACATATCCCTACAACTCACGTCGGTAAACACACACACACACACTGATATTTGGTTATCTTGTTAATTTTAATAAATCTTGCTTTCTCCTGCAGATGCTCCAAAGCCTCCCTCTGTGTCAGTGCGTCCCTCTGGTGAAATCAAGGAGGGCACTTCAGTGACTCTGACCTGTAGCAGTGATGCTAACCCAGCAGCTACGTTTGTCTGGTACAAGACAAATGGAAGAACACCTCTCAGTAAAGAACCACAGCTTTTCTTCAGATCCATCCAGCGCTCTGACTCTGGACAGTATTACTGTATAGCTGGAAATACAGTGGGAAGTAGGACATCTGAATATGTTTCTATTAATGTGAAATGTGAGTGGGAATAATTTCATATATTTCACCCATCAATAACTTCTGTCTTTCCTAGTGAGATGTTTTTTTCTCTCCTTTTAAATCTTTTTTAACATGAAGATGAATTTGATATTGAAATACGAGACTTTCAGATGTTACATTATGTCAATATTTTATCATTTTCCCAAAATACTAAATGATTGTATAAATATATTTTCTTTTCCAGATGCTCCAAAGTTTGTGTCAGTGATGGTGATCCCTTCTAATGAATTCAGGGAGGGCGGATCAGTGACTCTGACCTGTAGCAGTGATGCTAATCCAGCAGCTCAATACTCCTGGTACAAGAAGAATGGACAAAAGCCTCTCAGTAATGAACGGCAGCTCTCCTTCAGCTCCATCCAGCCCTCTGACTCTGGA